AGTCTCCTGCTCTGGAGACTTTCCAACCCACCTGGACACGTTCCTGTGTGACCTGCTCTGGGTGATCCTGCTCTGGCAGGGGGGCTGGACTAGATGATCTTTTGAGGCCCTTCCAACCGCTGACATTCTGTGATTCTGTGAAGGCTGGCAGACTTTTTGAATTCTACTGCACGTAAGAACAGAAAGCTTTTTGCTTTTGTGTTTATGTAGAGCAAAACCCCCTGTCCTTCAGTCAGCCAGAGCCCTGATTCTCTTTACGTGGTCTGAGACCACTGCTGAGCCGTGCAAAATCCCTTCTCATCTTGAAGTAAACCCTAGAATAATCCCAGCCTTTCTTTTTTTTTTTTTTTGAAGAGACCAGGTGAAACTAATTGATTTTTTTCCAAAGAAGGGGATTATGTTTCTCTTGGTTACTCCTGCAGCCTATATGAGGCTGAGAACCACCAATATCAACGCGACCACAGTTTCACATGACCGTAGCTGACACCAGCATGACGTGACCGAAAAAAGGGTTGTTTCAGGGCAGTAGGAATATTGGGGCGAGGCGGGAGCTCATCAGCTGGGCATTTAGAGCCTCCTGTGCTGTGTTGGAGTTGGATTTGGAGTAGATCCCAGGGCTCCTGCTTCACTGCAGCTGGACTGTATCTCTGCAATTAACTTAATCCACTCTTGAGCTCCTGGAGTGCATTATATGGGGTCCAGAAGTCAGGTACCATGTCCTGGTACCCCGTGTAATGATGCACAGACATCAAGTGTAGCCTGGCCTCAGGTCCTGAGCAGAAATCTTTCTGAAATGGCCATAGCAACGTTACATGGTTCACTCTGGGACTGCATCTCAGTGGGCTGCTACGTGAGCTTCTCCCCTTCTGTCCAGCATTAGCAATCTTCTGAATTCCATTAATTTCATTACTTGCTGCACGAGTTTCACGTTCAGAGCTTTGCTCACGCCTGCCCCACCGGCGCAGCGGTGTCTTGACATCAAATGATACAAAGCAATTGTTCGCTTTGTCGAATGGAGAATCTAAAAATCCACTGCAACCCCTCCTGTAACTTTGAGCCCTGCCGTGTCAATCTGCTGGAGATTGTCTCTAGTGAGGTGTCCCCCCCAAAAAAACCAAGCTGGGACCTTGCTGCCTCAGACCTGTCCCATAGTGACTGCTCTCTTCTTCCCACCTCTCGCCTGTTTTACCTGGGGGCACCCTGAGGAAATAACTGGACCCTTGTCAAAAGTGACTGGAGGAAATCGTCGGCCTTGGCACTTCTGGGAGGGTTGGGAGCCTCAGAAATGCTTTCTGGGCAGGGCGGATTCGCGGGGTTTGTGCAGAAGCTTTGCCAGCGTTTTCAGGTGAAGCTGTAGCCGGTCCCTTCAGGCTGTATAGGGTTAACTGGCTGGTGAAAATAATAACAAAAAAAGAGGAAGCGGTGATTTTTTGGAATTAGCATGTGACCGTGAACACTTTGAGCAGCCGTCCAAGCCTGTGGGAAACAAGCTGTTATGCAACCCTGGCTTTCCGAGCGCGTCTCAAATTTGATTTAATTTATTTTTGCGAATACACATGATATGTCAGCAGAAGCAGCCGTGCTGCAAGCCCAGGTGGCTACCAAAGGACAAAGTCCTCGCTTTTTGCTGCATCCTCCCCAGCGCAGCTTAGCCCTAAGTCACATTGCAGACGTGTGGGAGCTGACTCCTTGGAAATGGACACCAGGGGAAGGAGAGGGCCAGGATTTGTTACCACCTCGCTGACCTTGAGAAACCATCACTGCCCTGTTATTGCCTGGTAGCGACTCCTCAGTGTTGCGGGTTAACTCTGAGCCCCAGGGAGGGTGGTCTTCAAGACATCCAGGTTATGAAACCGCTGCTGTTGTCCTTCCAGAGGTTGGGCCAGGAGGTGACAATGTTGTTTGGTCCTGCAAGTCTCCACCTCGGCTGGGAAGCCAAGCTTGGTCCCCATCCAAACGGGAGGTTACTGCTGAGCACTTGAGGTTTTGGCAGAAGCTCTGTCTCCGATGGGAGCTGTGGTCCCTCCATCCAGATATCTGCCTTTCTCCTGAGCTGGCCCGATGCACGTTGGGCGTCGTCTTGATGCTCCTCTTGCCAGCTCTGTCTTTGGGTATGAGCAGCGATGTCCTTTCCGTGCATCACCCTGCAGCGTGATCTGGCCAACAGCTGGTGATGCCCGGCTTCTCAGGGCCAGCTTTTTCTTATTCAGGCTGGTGGAGATCTGACAGATTCTTCTTATTTAGAGGCTGAGGGAGAGGGAAGTAGGATCCGAATGGATTTGCGGTAGAGATAGCCGTGAGTCACCGTGTGCCGTCCCCTCCCGTGTCACGTCGCTTTACGCTGTCGCAAAGCCAGGGCACAACAGCTGGAGGTTTCTGTGCTGTCTCATCAGACATCCATCGGCTGTAGTTGATGCCACCTGCCAGTTGCAGCCTGTCTGAGGCTGACGTTAAGCCAGAAGTGTTGCAATATTGTGTTAACAGCCCTGCATAGCTTCGTTTCCATCCTGGTTAGCATCCACGGTAGTTTTCCATGCTCCAGCTCAACTGCTGTCGTATAAAGATCATGCCAGCCCGGGCAGACCGCTGGCTCCTGAGGTCTCCTAAGTCTCATATGCATGTAGCAGTAACCAACAAGGGTGGGTAATGAAGCATATCCTTTTAACCAGCAGGTTTTGTTTTTTTTTCCCACTGTTGAGGTAGCAGGAATTTGAGGACCCTCTTCAACAGCCTATTTTAATTTCCCAGGAGAAATAACTCGCAATATTTTCTGGTTTTGTAGTCTGACATACAGCAGTAATGAAGGGAGAAATGACAAAAGTCTCCTGGAATAGTTAGGTCTTTAAAGAATTTGTTTTAGCCCTAGAACAGCAGAATGAAGCGTAACTGATGATTTCTTCTTCTCTTCTGTTTTCGGAGTCAAACGGTCTGGCTTATAGCTTTACCGACAATACAGGGAAGCTCTCTGAGGATGTAACTGCCAAAAGTTTCCATCTGAATGCGTTGAATCCTGCAGAATGGAGATTTCCCATCAGGAGCTTGAGAGACTTGAGTTTATTAAGTGCTGGTGCAGGTTTTCTTGGGACCGAGGATATGATTGCAAGGCTCCCGTGCTAACGCTGCATTAGGATCGTTCCAGAGGGCCGTGCTGATGCATGTAAAAGGATGGCTTTTATTGCTCCTCTGGAGGCTCGTTTCCTCTTAGAGGAGCCTCATCTGGCTGTGCCTTGAGGTCCAGCAGCTCCTCATTTGCCTGGAGTTAAGTCCCTTGTCAGGATCTCGGTGAGATGGCGAATGGCTTCCCGGGCATCGTGCCCGACAAGGCGAGGGGCTTGCTGTGCCTTGAGGTCCAGCAGCTCCTCATTTGCCTGGAGTTAAGTCCCTTGTCAGGATCTCGGTGAGATGGCGAATGGCTTCCCGGGCATCGTGCCCGACAAGGCGAGGGGCTTGTGTGCTGCACCTTGGTCTGTTTGGATTGTAAAAGAAGGGGTGACACAGTCCTGAAGCTCCAGGCTCCTTCCTTAATTACGCACCGTGCAGGGAGACCCCAGGGCATCGCAGCCATCACGGTGGTATCGAGCAAATCACCCCTGCAGGGACTCGTTTCCACTCCCTCGCTGTTTGGAGGTGAACACTTGCAGGTTTTCTGCTGAAGCCATATCTCTATTTATTTAAATTTTTAGTGCAGTGGAAGGTCACCCTTTTTGATGCTCAGTTTGGGTTCTCTTGGGCCAGGGTCAAATTCTAGCGTCGGGCAAATGCTGTGCGGGCACAGACCCACCTCTGGTTCCCCTTTGGGCAGGAGTGGGAGGAGGCTGGGACAACTAGGGCCTTGTGTCCTCAGCAGTGTCTCATGTCCCACGTGGAGCCCAGCAGGCAGCCGATGCAGATTGCTGAAGCCCTGTTATTGCTCTTTTTCTGCCTACTTTGCCCATAAACAGTGGGCAAAGTGAGCCCCAGCTGGGTTAGCCGGCTCTGAGAGCCTTGCCTTCATTTGCGAGCTGGTTTCAAAAGATCTTCTGCAAAGGTGGAGGCAGGAGCGGATCTGAGTTATCCTGCTGGGTGTAGGGACTGCTGGGGACAGGGATTTAAGAGTTTCCTGGGGACAAATCCCAGGGGTGAAGAGAGAAAAAGGGTATTGAAGCAGATTTGATTGCACGAGGCAGTTTTGTGGCAAAGGGGATTGTTCCCCAAGAGCAGAGTAAGCCTGAACACTGTTGTCCCAAATCTCAAACCGGGTTAATCTAAAGCTGCAAAGTCTGGAAGGGGTGGCTCTGCAGGGGCAGCTCTTGATACTGAGCTCAGTGTCTGCAGAGAGCCGGGGGGCACGTACAGCGGCTGCGAGGGAGCTCCTGGGGCTGGCACAGCAGCGGTGTGCTGTGAGGACCACTCAGAGGTTTCTGTGTTGCTCTGGAAAGGAGGGATGTCCTCCCTGTGCCTGCCTTTGGCACAAAATACAAGAGTCCCAGCTTGGTGGAGAGCCTGGGAAGTTCAGCATCTGCGTTCCAGGGAAACATAGGCTTTGTAGCCTGGGGCTCCCTGCAGATGATCCAAGTTAAATATGTTTTGGGCGTTCAGGCCTTGAGGATTCAGCCCTTATTCCTTCTGTACCTTGGAGAATTTGGGGCTGACAGCACTGCCCTGCCACCGAGGAGCTAAGTTGGCCCCGCTAGTCCTGCTCACCCAAGCTCATCCAGCAGCGACCACCGAGCTGTCACGGGCATCAAGCACGAGCTGCTCCTGATCTCTCCCACTCTCATCCCTGCTCTCCGGCTCTGCACCACCTTCCCAGGTGTCCTGCCCTGCCAAGTCCATCCCTGCCTCCACGATCCGCTTGGAAACGGCAGGGGTAAGATCGCCGCATCGATTTCTGTCACAGATGTGCTGGCTTTGGAATTCGTCGCATCCCCAAGTCAGCTAAACTCGCTCAGCTAGAAAAGCGCGCTGCTGTTAGCAGATACATATTCATCAGCCCAGTGGTTCTGTTTAATTTTCTTCCTTTCCTCCTTTAGCTTCGTTTTTTTGCTTATGAATTGTGTTGCGCTCGCTTCCATTAACGGGAGATGTATTGCCTCTGTCAGCCTCTGAGTAATAACCAAAGTGCCCCGAAGAGTCCACAGGGCCAATATATCTGGTTGTGGGACATAAAATAGACCAGTGAGTGCCATCAGCTTGCCATCCAGCAGAAGCCAGCAGCAAAACAGTACCTCGTTAGATGGTTGACCTGAGAGACTCCTGCATTAGGCTCAAAGAAGTTTATTTTCTGTCCTTGGGAGGAAGGAAGGATGCTTGTGGAGTTTCCCGGGAATGATTTGGCTCCAAGACCTCATTCTTGTTCGTATAAACTCTGCTTTAGAGCAGCTAAAGGGTGATGTGGTACAAAAATCTCACTCTCCTTTTTTCAGAGAGATTCCCAACGTCTTGTGAGAAATCCCGCGGTCCTGGCAGATGGGGTGCTCAGTTTATGGTGGGCACTGCCCTGACAGCCAGAGTGAACCCTAAGCTGTGCTTGCTCCTGTGTGACTGAATTCAAATCCTGGCATCAGTCTTCACCCTCAGCCTTGCTGGTCCAGTCCTATCTCCTTAAAATACCTTTGTTTGGGATGTGATGTTCCACGGAGCAAACAGAGACTTTCCCTTGGTAGAATCTGGGTGACCTTTCTGAAATGGGGCTCATTTCCCTCCTGCTCGTTGCTGAACTTCCCTCCCTTTTACCGCACCCCTGCATTTTGGTTTGAAGGCTCAGGATGTGCTGCTCTGCCCTGCTTTGTTGCCAAGATGAAGACCTCGAGCTTCATCACCGCTCTCGGTAGCGAGGGTTTGGGTCTCTGCCAGTGCTGGTAAAGCCTGGCAAGGCACCGTTTGCCATAGTCTGATTTAGTCACCAAAGAAAAGACTTAAGAAATGAACAAAATTAAATTCCAGCAATAAGAAATGAGCAGAGGACTGCTGGGGTATCTGACGGCGTCACTGGGCAGCTCAGCAGCCTTCGAGGAGGAGCGCAGAACGCCGAGGTGTGTGCTCAGCCCCAGCTGTTGGGCTGGAAGCGAAGGCAAGCAGCTGCCTCTGGTGCATCCCACCCGCCCCCCTCCCCAGGGATGCTCTGCCCAGGACGAGACCACGGAGTTCAGTCTGTTAAACACACAGTGAGCAGCTGGTTGATGAGCACTGGTGAGTTATTAGGCTCTAATTAGCCGAGCCAGGGAAATTTGTCATCCGTGTGTTTCCTCACGGTGGCTCGGCTTAGGTAAGCTCCAGGTGTCGTAGCAGAGCTGAAGTCGTTTGGAGCACCCAAGTGCTTTGATTCCTGTAAATCCAGGATAATTCTGAGTGCTCGGGAGTCCGTGCAACGTTCCCACGCAGCCCAAGGGATCTGATATCTCGCGTGCGGGCTGACGTCCCCAGTTTGCTGCCTCCAGCCAAGTGTGGTGTCACCCAGTAAGGCTTCGTCTCATCACATTGCTTGCTGGATGGAAACACAGACCTGGCAAATGTGTTTGCTCAAGGTTTTGAGAAACATCCAAGTGATTTTATCCTTTCAGATTTCCCATATTATTGGTTTGTTGGGGCTTGAAACAATTTTCCCTACGTGTTCTTCCCTCTCTTCTGCTGACTGCGAGCAGGCTGTGCACTAGGGAATTATTTGCGACTGCAGCCCGATAACTCACCGTGTCATGGCTCTTTAATTTTTGTGGGGACTGGCCTTTGGGCAGTTGACGGGAAACATTATCGTTATTTAATATTTATGCTGCAGCAGGAGCACTGGAGGCTCCAGTCAGTGTGAGCATCTTCTAGACAAAGCGCTGAGGATACTCATAAGTGAGCAGCATCAAACCCTCACTTTGTCGATAGAAAAATAACTTTCCTGTCTCCTTCCCTAAGCTTTTTCATTCCTGGTAGAGTAGCCTTAGAGTTGTCAGAAGTATCTGTTCACGTCAACAAATGCACAAAGAAATGTTTGCGATGCACGAGGGTTTTGAAGCGTTTAAACCGGTCGCAAGAAGCAAGAGCTTTTACAAATCAGGGCTATTTCTGACAACGTGCAACCAGGCTCCCACTGGCCAAACTCCAACACCAGGACTCTGGGAGAGAAGCACAGGGAGGAGACAGCAGACAGGCACACCGGTAGCAATGGTCCAGGCTTACATCCTTCATCCAGAGCAAGAAAAAGGCTTGAAAAGAGCCTGTGGAGCTGTAAGCAAATCCCATCTCTTCTTGGCTGTTCATTGGAACAGGAAGGGATGTGCTTTGCGGAGAGAAATGGGGTGCATCCGGCTCGACACCTTTCTGGAAAGTCTCTTCTAGGCTGCTCCACAGGCAGGAGGGCTTGTGCTGCTGGGTCCAGCACAGGGCTGTGTTAAGCACTCCCACGTGTGTCCAGGTGAAGGGTATAAGAGGCAGCGTAACTAAGCATGGAAAAATCCATTTGATGTGCAAAATCGCTTCTGATCTCGAGCGAAAGCGTTTCCCGTAGCCATGGTGATGCAGGGATGTAAGGGAAGGGTTGGAGGAGAGGGATGCCTCAGACTGGCTGGAGGAATCCTGCTGGGTTTGCTGGAGCATGAACCAGTTTGGTTGCTTTGTTATAGCCCTAATTTAACAAAACGCCTCTGCCAGCTGCCGGTAAAGGTAAGAGACTTAAAAAGGCTTTTTTGCCACTGCTTCCAAACTCTCTCATAAATTTCCTTGGTAAGTGGTGCTTGCTCCTTGCTCTTCATTAAATGCTCTAAATAGAGGCTGAGAACAAGGAATGTAAGGTTTGAAGATAAAGGGTTTGCTGTCTTCTTCTGTTTTAGGAGGGAGACGTCTGGCCAAACTCTTCGGTTGAAATTAATGTCATCTTTAAACCCAAAGAAGCCAGAGTCTATCAACAAACGGTCTACTGCGACATCTCAGGTACAGTTCCTGCTTCTGTTACCCGCGGTGAAGGTGAGGCACAACTAGTCCTTCAGCCCACTTGGTCCTCGTGTAATTGCTGGGAAGGCTCAGTGGACAGCGGGACGATGCTGGCACGTGCCCAACGTCCCTGCGGTTTCCAGGTCATAGAATCACAGAGTTTTTAGGGTTGGAAGGGACCACAAAGATCATCTAGTCCCAACCTCTCCCACCATGGGCAGGGACATCCCCCACTAGACCAGGCTGCCCAGAGCCCCATCCAGCCTGGCCTTAAAAACTCCCAGGGATGGGGCTGCCACCCCCTCTCTGGGCAACCTGTGCCAGGGTCTCCCCACCCTCCTGGGGAAGAACTTCTTCCTCACGTCCCATCTGAACCGACCAGGACACGATTGGCTTTCGGGCTGCAAGTGCCCCTGACGGCTCATGCTGAGCTTCTCGTCCACCAGCACCCCAAGTCCTTTTCTCCAGGGCTGCTCTCAAGCCAGTCCCTGCCCAGCCTGTGTCGGTGCTTGGGATTGCCCCGACCCAGATGGAGGAGCTTGCGCTTGGCCGTGTTGAACTCCGTGAAGTTGGCCTGGGCTCACCTCTCCAGCCTGTCAGGGTCCCTCTGGCTGGCCTCC